CTCACAAATCCGCAGCAGCAAACCTTCGCATGATGTACCCATGACACACTGGTACCTCACCTAATCAATGACCGCACGTCAGAATCCAAGAAGACCATTTATTGATTTTAATCGTTTGTTTGCTTTAATTTATCTCTGGTTTCAAGCTATGTTTGACGATCTTTTTTACCTCTCAGATTAGCCGAACCGTCCTGTCAGCAGCACTAAGTAAACTACCATAGTTGAATAAGACAGCTACATCACGCGCGTTAATTGTGTGGCAAAAAATTGTTGAATCATTAAAAGAAATCCAAATTGCGGCCTTTTTGACAAATTCGCCACAAAACAAACAAACAAATAAACCAAAACTAAAACAAGGAGAGCATTTAATTAAAGACCAGAGTTAGTATCTAGGTGAGCCTGAATGTTAGGCAGAGTTTGAGTCGACGGTTAGTCCTGCGTGAAGTACACAAAATTTTCGCTAACATGGAGTCAAAGAATTTAAGAAGGAATCCACCAGAAGTTCGAGCAACAAGTGGACAAGAACTCTGTACCAAATATCGTCTCAACGGAATATCATTTCTAATAAAAACAAAAAACAAATTTTGAAGTCAAAGTAAACCATAGTTTCGGTCAAATGAGACTGATGATGAAATGTTATCTGTGTTTTCACAATTTCTCCGAACTTTGAAATTTAATTTCTCGATTTCCCATGGGAAAATGTTTTTGGTGTTATTTCTTGCATTTTAGACAATACAAAAAGGACTGTAATATACTTAAAATTATTTTGGTACAAGGTTTTGTCCACTAAAAACTGAAATTGCTCAATATTGGATTTCGACTAAATTTTGAGTTTACCTCCAAATATTTACCGGTGCCGTGACAAGGATCTCCAAAGGCAGAGTTTTTCGCGTGTAGAGTACACCTTCTCTGTCCTTGGCACTCATGCCTAGCTACCATCCAAGAAACACCAGCATGGCAGTTTGTGTTTCCGTTATGTCNGCAAGATACAATACTGCTTTCCTTGGCAAACGCGTCTCACTTGTCCAAGCGACCCAGCGGCTCCGCAGTTCTCGGTTTTTACCGCGCCTGGACAGATATGTCCACCGGTCAAACGACCATAGTTGGCCGAAATGATGTTGATATTCCCCTTAAGACAATGGATTGCACCTGAATGGTTCTCACAAATCTGTTGCAGCAAACCTTCGCATGATGCACCAATCACACACTGGTACCTCACCTAATCAATGACCGTACGTCAGCATCTCACATTTTTAATTTCATTACTTTAATATATAGAGGAGCATTTATTGATTTTAATCGTTTCTTCGTTTTCATTTATCTTTGGTTTTATGTTTGACGATTTTTTTTTACCTCTCAGGTTGGTTGAACTGTCCGGGCAGTAGCACTGAGTAAATTACGTTAATTGTGTAGCAAAAAATTGTTGAAATCATTAAAAGAAATCCAAATTGTGGTCTTTGACAAATTCGCCACAAAACAAACAAACAAACAAACAAAACTAAAACAAGGAGAGCATTTAATTAAAGACCAGAGTTCGTATCGAGGTGAGCCTGATTGTTAGGCACGGTTTGACTCGACGGTTAGCAAACAAAATTTCGCTAACATGGAGTCAAAGAATTTAACAAGGAATCCACCAGAAGTTCGAGCAACAAGTGGACAAAAACTTTGTACCAAATATCGTCTCAACGGAATATCATTTCTAATAACAACAACAGTCGAAAACAAATTTTGAAGTTCAAATTTAACCATAGATTTGGTCAAATGAGACTGACGATGAAATGTCATCTGTGTTTTCACAATTTCTCTGAACTTTGAAATTTAATTTCTCGAGTTCCCATGGGAAACTGTTTTTGGAGTTATTTCTCGCATTTTAGAAAATACAAAAACGACTGTAATATACTAAAAAATTATCCTGGTACAAGGTTTTGTTCACTAAAAACTGAAATTGCTCAATTTCCTATTAGATTTCAGCTAAATTTTGAGTTTACCTCCAAATATTTATTGGGGCCGCGACAAGGATCTCCAAAGGCAGAGTTTTTCGCGTGTAGAGTACACCTTCTCTGTCCTTGGCACTCATGCCTAGCTACCATCCAAGAAACACCAGCATGGCAGTTTGTGTTTCCGTTATGTCCGCACAATCTCTGCTGACTCCGTCCATATGATGCGCTCAGAATATCGATAACCCTTGCGCCGCAGTTTATTGACATCACCTGGCCTTCACAAGCTCGGCGAAAGTAGGCCTCTGAAAATACAGAGAAGAAGGGGAATAGGGAACCGTGTACGATCAGTCTCTAGATGCTATTTATCTTTGTACATTAAGAGGGAAAATGTT